ATGAATGTCCAGACGGCCGCCACAGCAAATCATCAGTATCCAACTCAACTCCTGCTGGTTGTTTCTGTACAGAAGCCAACGCTTGGTCTGATGTTTGTTTGTTTGTTTGTTCAGGTGATCATCCAGGTGACGGAGATGCTCCACAACGCCAGCTTGCTGATCGACGACATTGAGGACAGCTCCAAGCTGCGCCGTGGCTTCCCCGTGGCGCACAGCATCTACGGCATCCCCTCGGTCATCAACTCCGCCAACTACGTCTACTTCCTGGGCTTGGAAAAGGTGCTGGTGCTGGAGCACCCCGAGGCCGTGCACGTGTTCACCCGCCAGCTGCTGGAGCTGCACCGCGGCCAGGGCCTGGACATCCACTGGAGGGACACCTACACCTGTCCCACAGAGGAGGAGTACCGCAACATGGTGCTGCAGAAGACCGGCGGGCTCTTCGGCCTGGCCGTGGGCCTCATGCAGCTCTTCTCGGACTGGAAACAGGACCTCAAACCCCTCCTGGACACACTCGGGCTCTTTTTTCAGATCCGCGACGACTACGCCAACCTGAGCTCCCGCGAGTACAGCGAGAACAAGAGCTACTGCGAAGACCTGACCGAGGGCAAGTTCTCCTTCCCGACCATCCACGCCATATGGTCGCAGCCGGACAGCACGCAGGTGCAGAACATCCTGCGGCAGCGCACCGAGAACATGGACATCAAACGGTACTGCGTGGACTACTTGGAGAAAGTGGGTTCGTTCGCGTACACTCGTCAGACCCTGCGGGACCTGGAGGCTGAGGCGTACCGGCTCATTCAGGAGTTCGGTGGGAACCCTCAGCTGGAGAGCCTGGTCAAACATCTCAGCCAGATGCATCATGAAGCTGAAGCTGCAGCAGAGTCCAGGGAGGAAGCACACTCCGGCCAGAACCACTGATCCCCTGCGGCTCCATCGTACACGTCCTGATCACTGAAGCGCTGCTGACTCGAACGTAGAGACTCCTGGAAAACTGTCTCTAAAACACGTTGAGCAGCAGAGACGACCTGAAGGGTTCCCTAAACGTTCCACAGAACTGGTTCTGGTTTCTGAGGGGAGTCGAACTGAGGAAGTGCTCTGGATTTATTTTCATTCATCAAAACGACAAAATAAAACCTCAAAAGCCTTTTGATTGATGTGCTCTTCAATGCAGTTACAGACCGTGGACTTGTTGGTACCCATCTTTCAGGGTCTCCACAGAGTCCTCCTCCATCTCACTCCAACCAACTCCATGTCCTCTCTTAACGGCATCCACATCTCCTCTGTCTTTTTCCTGGCAGCTGCATTTCTAACATCCTTCTACCAATATACCCACTGTCCCTCCTCTGGACATGTCCAAACCACTGTCCCTCCTCAGGACATGTCCAAACCACTGTCCCTCCTCTGGACATGTCCAAACCATCTCAGTGTGTCCTCTCTAACTTTATCTCCAAGTTGTTCAACTGTGCTGTACCTCTGATGATCTCATTCCTAATCTTATCCATCCTTGTCCTAAGGAGAACCTCAACATCTTCATTTCTGACACTTCCACTTCTGTCTCCTGTCTTTTTGTCCATGTCTCTGTCTCCAGACCATACAACATAGCTGGTCTCACCACTGTCTCGTAAACTTTGCTGCCACCCATTTGTCAAAATCACTCCTGAAACTTTTCTCCATCTACTCCATCCTTCCTGGACTCTCTTCACCTCTTTAACACACTCCATGTTTTCCTGTACAGTGGAATCCAAGTCCTTGAAAAAAAAAAAAAAAAAAAAATTTACGTGACTTGAGCAAAAAATGTCCAGGTTTGTCTCGTCAGTCCCAGAAATGTTGGTTCTTGTTAACATGCACTTCAGCTTTTCTTCCATGGAGCATATTATGATTAAAAATTATCAGAAAGTGACGTACCTCGACCTTAGAGCTCAGCCTGAATGGTTTCTTCCATCTGCACTAACAGACTAATCCACCTGGGGTCGCATTTCTACTTGCATCCACATCTTTGGAGGTTGTCTACAGTCCCACGAGCCACCTACTTTTTACTAACCTTGTCAGTTGTGTTCAGAGGAACATGAAGCAGCTTACAGGTGGTCTGGGAGCCTTTAGCTTTAACTTGGATCTCTATAATCTGCTTTTTCTGCTCCATGTTCAAATGTGAACACAAATGACCCAGCAGCTCTGAGGGTACCAACAATATTTTAGCTCAGACATTGGTAACTTAAGGCCTGAGGGCCAAAAGTGGCCCTTGGACAATCTCCACCAGGCCCCCATTAACCTTAGTTTAAAAGGAAAAAAAACCCAACAACTTTTAAAATAAAAGATTGATTAAAAAAAACTGCAATTTATCAACAAGATTTGAGGAAATTTAAATTAAACATCTTACGCAAAACTTTTTTAAAAACATTTTTTAAGTCGTGTTTCCAGAACTAGATTGAACTTTAAAGATTTAGCAACACAAGCAAATAAGTTTGTTTTACATATTTCTGCTAACATGTTATACACAGCATAACGTTATCCACGTTAGCATAATATGTTATACATGTTAGCATAACATGTTAAGCTAACATGCATAATATGTTATGCTAACATGTATAACATATTATGCTAATGTGTATATGTTATGCTAAGGTGTATAACATGTTAAGCTAATGTGTATAACATGTTAAGCTAACGTGTATAACACTTTAAGCTAACGTGTATAACATGTTAAGCTAACGTGTATAACATTTTAAGCTAACGTG